ACTACCTACTTAGGCTACATGAAAACGCATGATGTGATACAATAGATTAATTATACACAGTATTTAAAACAAAAATGTCTAAAGACGAACGACTAACATAAAAACATATCATTATTATCCTGCAACACTGTTATTCAAAAGGAGCTAGTCGGTATACTCAGCACTTTTACTTTAGAGATACGAACAGTGTTGCAGGATAATAATGATATGTTTTTATGTTAGTCGTTCGTCTNTCATGTTGTCGTTGCTGTGGGACTTCTTAATACCTTGGAAAATGCCGTTTAATACTTTTTAATACTTTTTAAAAGCCTTAATTTTCGCTAAATTGATTTATCAACTTTTAATACTTTTTAAGACCCCGCGGACACCCTGTAGAACCACGATTTTATGGGGCCATTACATCACCAGAAGTCCCAATTTAAGGGGTCATTTCTCCCCAAAAAAATGTTTTAATCACTATATCAACAGCCCCACCAAAAATATTTTCCACCAGCCGCCACTGGTAATTAAGTTGCCATTTCTTACTAATTAGACAAAAGGTAAAACATTGTGATACATATAAAGCCTGTATTACAGCATGTGATGCTCAACCGAACATTTTTATTTCACTTTTATTTTAAATCATTCTCAAGCAGGCCATTTTTGTATCATACCTTGTGCTACATCATAAATTAATACAGTTTATAATTACATTTGCTCTCAACTTACAAGTATTATGGGTTTGAGCTTGACAACTCTATTTAAGCTACATCATTCAAGATATGGTGAAAGGTTAAACATATATTTCTACTAAATAAAGTCTCAGATACCCAAACACCGAGTGGAAAGGAGGTCACTGAGAAGCTACCCGTCTAGAGTGTCACTAAGACTATTAATGGATCATGTGTTGACCAACAGCATGTGATTGTTTACAACTGAGCACGTCTCAAAAGGTTGTTGTCAGAAGTGGGATTCGAACCCACGCCTCCAGAGGAGACTGCGACCTGAACGCAGCGCCTTAGACCGCTCGGCCATCCTGACATATAAATACGTGAAAATCAAATAGAAAATAAGAACATAACACGCATTTACTTTATCGACTTAAAGAAAACAACTACGGGAAATGAGTTGACTAACTACAGATGGTTTGCTACACGAGTCAGTATAATGCATTTAATCATAGAATAGTAATATACATCCTACCTTCCTCTGAGGACGATTCAGTGAAAGCGTGGGCGGTTCCCTTTTAGTGTCTCACATCTGCAGCTCCTGCCAGCACATGAAGACCTGTCAGTTCAAGGCGAGAAAATGTAAAAATAAGACCAGGAAACAACGTGTTCTCTCTCAGACACATCCGAGCCATTACATCTTGTCAAAACAAACCCCAAAATGAAGGATATCACAACATGTCAACGTGGATGAATGTTATGCAAACTCCCTTTAAGCTTGGGTTGATAATCCTAAAAAACTACCAGCACCAGCACGGTACAATTAAACCGAACATTGCCAGGCCCAGAGTAGCTAGCCTAGCCTAGTTAAATTAGCCGCAGGAGCTATACAAACACGTGTCTAGCTTTAGCGGCTAATTGAGCTAGCTGGCAGCTAGTTAGCCGCTTAAGCTAGCGAACACGTTGTGGTAACACTGAATACAACGTCCAAAACTATCATAATAAACGTAAACATTCCATAAATAATAAACAAGTAAGATCGTACCAACCAGTTTAAGCTGTTTCTTGAAATATCCGTCGAGGTGGGCAACGCCATTTTTATTTTATTTTAGAAGCATTGGAATTTTTGTCACCACAATATATATATAAGTAACTCTCCCGAAACTATACTTATGCACGAAAAATGTCATAATAAAGAACGAACATGTCTACTGTTAGTAGCCTACTCACTAGGTTTTAGGTTGGTAGCTTCTGGAAAGCTCCGTTAACAGCCTGTTAGGTGCATGCTGGGTGCATGTGTGAAGATCACGGGCAGACAGGTAGACAGACAGGCAGGTCACAGGACTGTAACGGTCCAGTCATATCATAAGACCGAATGATCTGATGGACAGTAGTCCGGTGACGCCCATTACTAACTACGTTTCTTTAAAAGAAAATGGACAGAGCATTTATTAAAAGTTGTCCAGTTGTGAAGAGAGTTTCAACAGTACAAAAAATGTGAAGATTAGTAACGTTATTTAAAACTGTAACCTAATAACATACACATTTATTTAAAGTGTATTGTGATTGTTATAGCATTTACAAACCTAACACTGCAGCATGTACGTAATAATTTTTTTATATCTCTGAACTTTGGGGTCTCAGTTTGGAATACAAATATAATCTGAGGGTAAAAGTGGACACAAGTTAATCACCAGCAGGATAGGGGTATTGAGGAGGGTATAAAAACACATAATACTGAACTACTGTGAGTATTGGTTCCGTTTCAGGAGTACCAGGTAAAATACCAGGTAAAATTGTTATTTTTCAATTTTCTAAATGGTTTTCAGTGTATGTTGCACATCCGACGAGTTATATCAACCGTGTTTGCACTTTGTAAATTGAGCAGACTTGAGGAACAAGCACAATTTAAAGACGCATGGGTAGAATCTGTGGAGAATGGAATAAAAAGTGTACATACAGGCATGAATAATTTAATAAAAGTATCTGTAATGTCATATGCAGGTCATACTGTAGCATTGGGGCTATACAAAAAAACGTGTTTCCCATTTACACACAGAAGACGTAAAAAATGTAAAAATGTGTCAGGAGAGGTTAAGAAGCCACAGGCCATTTAACAACCAGGGGGTTAAGGAGAACAAATTAAAGCAAGTAAGGAACATAAAAACTGAAACGAAAACTTAAATAAAAACATCCAAACATTTAGTAATTATTTGTTTTTTAAGTTAAGATAAAAGGGAGATATAGCCATGGTAACAGGCCGACCTGACAGCATGTAATAATAATAAAGACCAAATTAAAATGCTTAGACACCATCTTATTGTTCTTCTTTTAATTGGTCTTTAAAGTCATTAAGAGTCAGAGATGATGATGATGGTTCTCCTCCCAGTCTCTTCTGCAGCTCTAAAGGACCCTTAAAATGTTTTAGTCCCCTGCAGCTCATCTTCTTTACATCTTCGCCATGATTGTCTCGGACATGACACATGCCTTTCATGCTAAAAATGTCAATCCTGGCAACCGATCCCTCATCTGCATCCACCTTAACAGAGGTTTAATGAAACTGTAGCGGACGCTCTGGTTTTACGACACCACAGAAGCATCTGGTTGTAGAATCAGAGCGATGTGACAGATCGTTGGGTTTCCACTGATCTGATGTGTTCCTGATCATGAGACAGACAGCTTGTGATTAACATGTGTTTAAAAGAGCAACACAAAAATCTAGTAAAAGATTACGAGAGCGACACAAACACAAACTCACCTGCTCCGGCTCTGGCCTACTCAGCACTAATGACTGTGTGATTGGATTATCCAGGCTTTTAGCAGCCCCACAGCTGCAGCTGACAGAGAAGCTAACCTGCAAAGGCCAAGCTCGGGTCAACAAGGGGTCACGACCTTTGCATAAGACGAGGCCTTGAGGCGGGAGAGCAGAAGAGAAGCCGGTAAGTAGAGATGAATGATGGTGATAGACAGGATCCATGTTCCTAGGAATTCAAAGTGGAGGATGCTGGAAAGAGAGGATGGAGATTGTTGGGAGGAAGTAGAAGGTATTCGTTGTGACAGAAGAGCCTCGCAGACACTGCTGGCCTCCTGGTGACTCCACTGTACGACTGTGAACACTAAACAAACCATCCACCGCCGGCTCCACACAC